AACTCTGTTTCATGTTATATCAACACCCACAGAAGAATTGTGACTCAGTGTCATGTTACATCAAAACTGACAAAAGCATTATAATTTATTGTAATTTCACATCAAAATTAACAGAAGAACTAATAATGGTTGGAGATGGCTTGAATGGGTAATGAAGAAAAACTTTAATATAAGTTTAAGTTAACAGCAAATGTACAACGTTTTGACAAAGTTTTACTGTTATGTTAACTTATATAAGTTTTTCTTCATTACCCATTCAAGCCATTTACAACCATCATTAGTCTCAAAGTGGGTTCCTTGTCATCGAATTTGAATAACAGAATAACTGTAGCTCAGTGTCACGTCACACCACAATCAATAGAGGAATTATAGCTCAGTGTCATGTCAACCCCAACAGATGGGAAATACTGTATTTTCTGGTATATAAGACAATACTTTTTACTCTTAAAACAATGTCTAATTTCATCCCTCGTTTTGTACACAGGTTCAAAGATAGAGTGCCAGTAAGAACTCTCAAGTTAATAGCATATTTAACCAAAACTATGTTGTTTCTTTGACTTTTGTTTCCTTTTTTTTGAGTGAGTGCATTGACATCGTGCCACCGACTGCATTACAATAACATATTTGTAACTGTATCATTTGTCTTGATTCTTCATAACTAGAAGTTATTTATCTCACATGCTAGTTATAATTAATTAAGACATTTTTGATTTGAAATGTATTGATCTCATCTGTTGTACTAAAATATTGCTAATATTCTATCAAAAAAGTTAGTTTCTGTAACATACACTAATTTTGTAAATATGTTTTCATAGTAAATCACTATATCTTAAGGTTTAGTATTTTTTTTGTAATAGAAAAGGAGTTCAACTTTGATGAAAACTTTAAAGTTGTTTATTACATATTTGTGACTCAAGCCATGCTGCACTGAGCTGTCTGTAGCACTTGTGGTTGTATTGATTACCTCAGAGTGCAAGTTAGTACAGTTTAAAAATAACATATAAAATTTGCTTGTCAATAGACTTCATCCTATACTCCGGCAAATACAGTATAACTCAGAGTAACATCACAATTGACAGGGGAGTTGTCAGAGTTTTATGTACATGTGTGGACTGAGGATTCTTCTACAGTAGGTGTCTGTGACTTGTTGGCGATAAATGTCAACAATAAATGGAAGCACAAAATCCACTTGTTATAAAATAATATATTTAAAACAGGTCAAATGTATGAACAAAATTCTTTACACTATAGGATATCAAAGTTTTATCTAAAACTAAATAATTCTCTCTTAGGCTGATTCAATTACTTTAGAATCCAACTGACAAGACAAACTATTTTTCTTTGCTCTTATCACAACAGTATGAGTGAATAATTCACTTATGCTACCTGATGGGTTACCATAGTTGTATCTTGAACCTTAATTAATTGTCTCCTTTCATTAAAGTCCACACAGACATGTTCAATTACTTTAGAACACCCTCTGACAAGACCAATTATTCTCTTTATCTCTGTTAAAGTGTGAAACTCACTTTAAAATATCAACTGTTAAGGCTAGTCACTCACACGCCGGCTAACTCCACATTTTCTTTCGCTAACTAATTTATTGACTGAACTGCACTTTAATTCACTTGAATTGCACTTACTTAGTTGCCTATATTTATATCTTGTTCCCTGAGGCTTCAAAATTCCTCTAAACTACATGAGCGGTGCTGTAAGTTAACAACACTCACTTAAGGTAATGAGAAAAATACCAAAGATTTGAGTAACATGACATCAACAATATTAGTAAAACCTAGACAATAATGTAATAGCAAACACAACATATGACTCATACATAGTTACGTGATGAAATTTGTTACAACTAACACTTTTAAAACAATCCATTTTCAACACTCCTGTCTTCATTAAATATCATTAAATATTAAGTCACAAAATACTACATAATACCATTTACACTAAACAGTCTTGTATATCCAACAGGAATTATAACTCAGTGTCACATCATATCAAGATCTGTTACTCAGTATCACATCCCAACAAAATAGTATCTTCCTCAATTGGCATGCTTTAATGGAACCTTAAAGATTCCAGAAACATGTACATTCTGTGTTACTTATTTCTGTTCAACCCAGCACTACACATAATGTCTACTAAGGAAACTTTCATGTGGGCAGAATAGGATGCCATACACAATGCTTATACTACATAACAGAGGTAGCTCCTTCTCACAGTATCTGAATGAATATTGTCATGATTGTTTGGATTAATTACTACACACAATGAATGTTCCAAATGCTGTAAAAATATTTTTCTCATTCTTTCATGGCTTCTCACTGACCAGCTAAAATTCACCAACAACTGTGATTTGTGACAAATTTTGTGATTATGTATTTCTGCCCATACAATTGTTGAAAAATAAAAGTATTTACTTTAAATAGAGAACCAAATACACGAGTTAAAATCAGTTGCTCCTCCAAAAACAAAATATATACTAGTTCAGCAAAGTCACAATTATAATGTATTTTACAAAACCATTTACCTTATGATTCAAACAGCCTACTTACCTTTACAGGCATGTGTATGCTCTGCATTTCTAAAGCTTCAGCCATCAAGCAGCCCATTATAGCACATGCCCTCTGTTTTCTTTGTCTGTCCAGTTTTCGAAGAGAAATCAACAGACGATCACATGGTTTTAGCCACGAGTTGATGGAAGGTGTGGCAGTACTCAACAAGTGCCAATCAAGTCTTAAGAGATAAATAAAACACATTAAAGTTCATACAGTCAAATACTTTTAAACTGTACGTATATAGCACCACAGTAAACTAAGGTCTAGTGACTTTCTGAAATTTGTTCATGAAGAGGCTGAAGCTAACAACCAAAGAGTCCAGTGGTCAACCAGGAATCTACATCTAAACAGTAAATATAACGCCGCAGTAAACTAAGGTCTAATGACTTTCTGAAATTTGTTCATGAAGAGGCTGAAGCTAACAACCAAAGAATCCAGTGGTCAACCAGGAATCTACATCTAAACAGTAAATATAACACCACAGTAAACTAAGGTCTAGTGACTTTCTGACATTTATCCATGAAGAGGCTGAAACTAAAATAAATCCCAAACTCCCACTGTAGTAACAAGCATCATGTTTTTAGTAAGAAACAAAAAATGTAATCATAAACTAAAAAGAACAAATGATAATCATAATAGCTATGATGTGGGGAACTACTGCTGGGAAATAGTCAATCACTCTATTAATTTACAGGATGTGGGGAAACTACTACTGTGAAATAGTCAATCACTATTAATTTACAGGATGTGGAGAAATTACTGCTGTGAAATAAAGTCAATCACTATTGGTTTACAGGATGAGAGGAAATTACTGCTGTATTCCTACATCCTGTGAATTGATAGTGAGAATTAGTTCCCAGTTATGCAAATCAAGCATTTGATAATTGGTCATGCAAAATTAATGTTCATTAAGTCTATGCTTTAAACATTGTCTCACAAAATCTTGTTTCAGATGTTACTATAAAGTAAATCCCAGAGTTCTTATTCTAGAGTTCCAAATTGTTAATGAGCTAAGATTAAACCTGAAGAAATGTATTTAGATGTTTCAAGTGAAGTGTACAGTTACTAGAAGTCTCTCAAGATGTTGTTAACAAAATGTGTATCTGCTTCTAAACCAAGGATATAATTACTTTGACATCTGGATAAGGCAGGTCATAATCACAACATCGGCAGATGACTAAAGTTCTGTCAAATCAATTGGATCTCGTGGCAACATGCAGAAATCTAAGATTTACACATCTGGCCTACATGCCAAATGTCCAGTGAGGTGCATTTGTGATATTCTCAAGATCATTGATTTCCCTTTGAGTAATGGTGCAGGATCCATAAGATAACAGGAGGTTTGACAGAAAAGTTATTGTGGGAACAACCTAGGTTTCTTGACTTTGACTAAGTTGAGAGTGAAGGAGGACATAAAGTAAAGCAAAAGGAAATAATCTATATTCAATATAAAACACAATCAAAAACAGTGTATTGATGATGGATAGCGCCTTTACTGAAACTTTTAGAAATCTGTAGATCTTTGTGAGAATTTAAATTTGTATCACACTAAGAAAACATGACATTATATACATAGTTCTACAATGTTAATTTTTTTCTCAGGTTATATGTGTTACCCACATCATTGTGGGTCATATCATTCCAATCAAAAAATAAAGGATGATGTATTCCTCAAACTATCACATGATCTGCTAATGGAAAAGATCACTGTCTATCCTCACATAGTATGTTCTACTTTCAACATCTTTCCCCTGAGATAAGTAGTGCTACAGGGGAACGTCACACAATAATAGGTAACTAGGTTTAAAGGAAGTTAGTGACTTCCTTAACCTAGGTTGTACTTTAAACCTACCTACATGCATATGCATGAAAAAGTTAGGTGAGCTTTAAGTGTTCAATTGGTGAAATAAAGAAGACAGTAAACCCCTATTATGATTATATGTTACTTTATTCTGGCACAAAATAGATCAACAGTGTATTAAAGAACATGTGGGGCAACAGCCAACATTCATATAACATGGAACCCTATTTTCAGAGAGAAACATGATGGTGAAAGTATGGTGTGGGCTGGAATAAGCAGCGGTAGATGTCTTTACACCCTACAAAGTAGTACCATTAACACCAAACATTATAGCAACCATATCCAATGACCCATGTGTTTTTCCACATGTGAGTGCAACTGGTTCCAGTGTAATGGATTATAACACTCACTATATCAAACTGGTTTATACATTCTTGGAGAAGAACGGACTGGTTGAATGGAGTGGCCTCATGTTTCTGGACTCCAATTCAATCAAACATATATGGGATGCTCTTAAGACACACGTCATGTTCTGTCAAGCGACCCTAAAGATGTCTTGGATCAGCTCTTGCAGAGCAGCAGCTGAGGAAAACCTTATCAACACTGATGTAAAGCATACTGTTTATGATGACCATATAACATCATGAACTGTAAAGAAATAAATAACTCTACCAAATGCTTTTTTAATGAGTATAAACTCTGAACGAGCAAAATTTACTTGCATTTCATACCACAGAACAAATCCTCCAATGTACTTTTTGCAAAAAAAATGAAATAAGGAGTTGATTGACATTATCAAATAAAACTGGTTTTGCTTTGTTGTAGTTAAAATTTTATATAAATTCCAATTAAACTAACATTTTCTGAGGAGTACCATGGATATTTCCTGATATTTTTCTTCTCTCGGTGGAAATACTTAATCAAACTACATGAAACTTATTAAAAACATTCTAAACATTATCTAGTTTTAGCTTAAAAAAAATCCATATAACTTCATTTTCTATTTACAATTTTTTTTTAGCTTGTGACATTTCTAAAACTGTGTTGAGAAACACTATTATGAAAAACACCTCTTTTGTCTTAAAATTTCATTTTGTTTTTATTGTTGATCAGAAACTTCCATTTTTACATATTCAGTAAGTTTCAACTCGGTTGATATTTTTTTAACATATCTCTTTTGATACTTTATTTTCCTTACAAATAGTCATGACTTCTAGCTATTCATCATAAAAAAACATGTCAAAACTTGTTTCCACAAATAATAAAGTAACCAGAAAAATATTCAAACAGAATCGTAATCTACATGATATTCTCACATACTAAAATGATTTATTTATTTTCCTCCTACTTGCATACACACAGACTTTGTTTGTACACAATAGTGCCCTCTCAGACAAAATGTAAAATAAGATCCACAAGCTTTTAAGTCGATATTTAAAAGACTTAGTCTTATTTGATAGTCTTACAAGCTTTTTCCATATGAGGTAGCTTGTAAATTATGTTTCAAACTGCCAGCAGAGATACAAAATAAAACAAATATATTCTAGTTTACTTACCTAGTAAAGTCTATTTTCCGTGTATTGGGCATACGAGGAGGGGCAGCAAAGTTGAATAAAACTGATTTCAGTTCCACAATGAAAGAAGATGCATCACCTATCAATTCAGGAAGATTCAGCTCCTTCCTGCTGTCACTGCTGCTTGAAGAGCTGCCACACTCTGAAACACATGATGGAAAGCTGAATCGGGTATCACATGAGCCACTAGAGGGGTTTGACTTGCTAGTGTCTTTAGATGGTGAAGTTTCCCCTGCTTTCATTGACTTCCCTGGTTCATCATTCATTTTGTCATTTGGCTGATGATTTTCGTACTTCTTTTCAATTGCTTGTGGTTCAAAACCAACTCGTTTAACACATTTCACATTTATATCCTCTAATCTGCACTCAAACATTATAAATCCCATCCATTCCTCTTCACCACTTTGACCTCTGTCAGAGTCAAATGAATCTTCATCCTTGTCCTCATCATTTTCCACTTCATTAGTTGGAGTCATTCTCTCAAAAGTGAAACTTACTTTACTCATGTAAGAAGGTATCACTGTCAACACAGCATCTTTCAAGATGGTACTATTATTCTTCAGACGGCGTAGCTGCATGTGGATGGAGTCAATGGATGCGAGAACAATATTTTCTACTTCTTGGGTTTCACTGGTTTCTAAGGTTAGTGATTCCACAGGTAAAGTGACACTCCTTGCTTTCTTAAGAGAGCGATCTATAGGTTTTGGAAGAAGCACCGATTCCAAAGTGTGGTCTGAAAATGTCTGTATTTTCCTCTGAGCTGTACGACTGTTATACAACTGTAGAAAAAGATTATTGATACGAACTGCTAGCAGTGACACACATGTTAAATCCTTCAGGTTGTCCAAAGCTGAGAATGATATTATTTCTTCCACAATAGAAGCCTGCATTATACTCATGTTTACCTGTATAGAAAAAACAAATAATACACCTATTTCCTCAATAATTGCTTTAGTATGCGACACAAGACAAAGAAAGATTATAATATATCACCAGTCTATTACATCAATAACTGCTTGAATGTAAGACATTAAACAGGAAACAATATAGTTCAATTAGTCAATTTGATCAACAACTACTTTAATGTAAGACATTAGACAAGAAACATAACTCTATCATAGCCTAGTTGATCAATAACAGCTTTAATATAAGACATTAGACAGGAAACATTATAGTTCTATTACTCTATTTCATGAATAACACAGGCCTGTGAATTTAAACTTCATAGAAGTGATTTTGGTTGTAATAATGAATTTTCCATAATTCAGCTATGCAGATTTTGAAAATAATATTCATTTTTTTCTATCATGTAAGGAATTTTTACAAATTGGGAATAACAAAATATTCTTAATTAGATCAAATTATTTCATTTACCACAATGAACATTTTTTATTATTATGTTTGTTAACAAAAATAC